ACCTGCGGGGAGGCTGTTGTTGACGCTCGTGTTCGTCTCTTCCTCCCCTCCCCCACCCTTCCGTCCCGCTTTTCCGTGTTTTGCAGGAAAGGCATGACTTCCCGGCACCGCAGGGAAAGTCGGGTGCAAGCCCAGAGACTCTTCCCCCACCACCACTTGTTGAAAAACTGATTTGAAGGCATCGCCGGGTGTGAGCCGACGGAACGCGCCAGGGTTTGATGCGTCTCTGGTTTTGCACGGAGACCCTTCTCTGCTGAGTATCAGGACAAAAAAACTGGAAACAAACCCGGTAAACATTTAAGCTTGCAAACTTCTGATGAGTTTTGTTTTGATCTAGTAAGTGATTTGCTACTTCTGTTGTGTTGGCCAGTTCCTGCACTTCTTAGCTTCTTCGTTTGTTTAAAATATTCTGGTCGCCTACTGAAAACACTTTTGTTCTTCGGGTATGTAAACTCGAGCATCCTCTGCTGGGTGGATATTTGCCTCTGCAGCAACACAGACTTTTTGAAAGTTCGAGGCATCGGAAAGAGAGTACAGAGCTTTCACGTTAGCACAAATGATTGAGCATTTTATGCCACGAGGAATTACATGCTTATTTGTTGTTTTTGAAATCCAAGTACTTAAAAGATAGAAAGTAAGATTTAGGCATGACGGGGCACAAATACTTAATGTTTTTCATAGCTAGGTTAAAATGATTATTCACAATAGGGACTGGTTTGTTATGAGAGTCAGAACACACATCATTAACTTAAAGTCAAACTTGTAATGGCAATTCACTAAATATCTAGGTAGGAATCATGTCTGTCCTCTCTACCATTGCAAGCCTATTGCCTAAAACAGCATTTGACAAATGAATTAATGGAAAAAACTAAATCCATTAGAACCTAGACTTTATCATAATTTCTGGAATATCTGTGGAATGTTAAATTTTCTGGGTTTGGTCCATGGGTGTCTAACATTGACAATTTAAAGTTCGTTTGAAAGAGACTTTATGTTGCCTAGCTATTCTCTAGTGTGGATTAATGGAATACTCCGTTGTTTCTGATCGTACTTATAAAGCACAGTTCTTTAGAGCACACTTAGGAGTCTTTCTCTAACATATTTATACAGAACAGAATTCCATCTTGAATTCTATCAAGCTCACTTTAATTTCTTAAATCTTATTTGGTGTAAGCTTAGCCCAAAGGCATGGCCCCAGAGAACAATTAAGACTTAATGATCATGTGTCATCTACCAAAATATGTTATTGCGGGGTTTCAGTGCCCATACATTATGATTTGGGAACTTAATCCAGTGATCATTAGGATAAATTGAGAAATTATTAAGCTCCTTCAAAATTATTTTAAGTATTTGGACAAATAGTAAAGGTGCACATTTTTTCAACACGTTTTGGTTGACCTTCTGTCATTTACTAGGCAGTATGTTAAGTTCTTGATTTTGTTCTTACTAGTTATTAAGTGAAATAGCTATTAACAAATGTAATTATTCATCTTTAATGGAAAAAAGAGCCAAAAATATTAGAAAAGTAGCACTTTGCATATCTTACCACCTTTTGGAAAACTTAGGAGAGGTATACATGCTTTTTGAAAAATGACTTACTTTGAACTTTATATTTTGGCTTTAAAATGTATTGTTATTAATTGCATGTTCTATGTTCTCTGGTTGTTTTTACTTTTTTCTTCTCCTCAGAACAATCTTAGAAATTATATCCATCTTCATATAGGATTATAGTGAATCATAGACCCACCTGTTTGAACACACTTTTTCCATAGTTGTTGTTCTAAAATCAGTTCCCCCCGCGTTGTGAAAGAACCTCCTATAAACTTGAATGCTTATCTAAATTGAATACAATTCATCTAATTAATACTCTACATGTTGACCTGTGATTAGGTTCTTCCAAATACTGGTGCCATCTGGAGCTAGTGGGAGTTCTTTTCTTATTGTCTGAATTTTATATCAAGGAATGAACCTGGTTGTTAATAGTCACTTGCTCTGTTTTCTGTCTTCCCTTTCATATTTCAGGTAAGTTAAAAATTAACAGGACAAACACAGTCTACTAATGTGAATCAAGTTTTTTGACGTTTTTAATCTTAAAGTAGTTATACCCTGCCTCTTATTGTTAATGTTACTTCCAGAATGAACTGTTGTTATAACACTTCACTTTGTTTCTCTTGTCTTGAAAGAACCTTATTCGAGGTCAGAATGGAGCGATTTGTAGTAACAGCACCACCTGCTCGAAACCGTTCTAAGACTGCTTTGTATGTGACTCCCCTGGATCGAGTCACTGAGTTTGGAGGTGAGCTGCATGAAGATGGAGGAAAACTCTTCTGCACTTCTTGCAATGTGGTTCTGAATCATGTTCGCAAGTCTGCCATTAGTGACCACCTCAAGTCAAAGACTCACACCAAGAGGAAGGCAGAATTTGAAGAGCAGAACGTGAGAAAGAAGCAGAGGCCCCTCACTGCGTCTCTTCAATGCAACAGTACTGCGCAGACAGAGAAAGTCAGTGTTATCCAGGACTTTGTGAAAATGTGCCTGGAAGCCAACATCCCACTTGAGAAGGCGGATCACCCGGCAGTCCGTGCTTTCCTGTCTCGCCATGTGAAGAATGGAGGCTCCATACCTAAGTCAGACCAGCTACGGAGAGCATATCTGCCTGATGGCTATGAGAATGAGAATCAGCTCCTCAACTCACAAGATTGTTGACAAGGAGGTTTCCACCATTGTGATCAAGATAAATAATGTGGAGTATTAAAGTTATGTGTTGATTGTGTGGTTCATTTTTATATTTATTTCATTTAAAATCATGTGATGCAGAATAGTTTTGCGATGTGTATATAGTTGCAGGCAAGAAGAAAACCTCACTGCAAAACTTATTGATAATTTTAGTCACCAATGGTATAAAGCAAAACTTAGGTTTAGAGTGTGCTAGGATACCTGAAATCTGATGGTTATCTTTAAAATTGATGGTTTTTCTCCTGAAAATGTTTGTGCATGGAAGAACTGCCCTGCTTTTTTACCCTGTTGCCATGTATGATTATTCCTTGTGAGATTACTTAATTACTCGGATTGAAGACTAGCCTAGGAAATTGAAGCTGCTGCCAGGCAACACCACTCACAGTTACTGAAAGGAACTAATTCTTCAGAGGACCCTCTTCAAAATGGAAGGGGTGGTGGGAAAACTGTTCCTCTGTGATCAGATCCCTAGCAGAAATGAGTCTTTCAAACTATGTTTTACTTGTATATGATGTAGTTACCTTAATTAGCCTTCAGTTCCATGCTTTTTTTTTAACCACTTTTTAAAGGCTTACTGTTGTATTTAGTAGCAGCTTCAAGTGACCAAAAGACTAAAATCTTTCTTTCAGTGTCAGTGCCAAAAGCCATGGGGAATTTTGCAGTGACAAGATTTTAGTCTCTTACTATGAATACAGATTTTTTAACCATACCTTTTACTTTAAGCACCATCTTGAATTTGCAAACCTTTTTTTTTTTTTTGATGTCTTGGTGTTAAAAGACTTCAAGATTGGCATTTTTATTTAAACAGGTAGATATTTTATGGTTGAGTTTTCTCTTTTTACAGAGAATTAGTAATGACTTTTTGGCAGACAGATCAGATAAGGAAATTACTTTCTATACGTTAATTTTTCCATATGATTTTATAAGAGTTATTTAGGTAAATAGACTAGACTAGAAGCAAGTTTACTTTAACTTTCATCTGCTTTGCCTCTGGTGGTACAAGGTTTTTAAACATGGATGGTAAATACTTGTCTAGAAATTCTGGCAAGATTTTTATAGTGGAGATCTGGCAGTATCCTGCATAACTGTTTGGGTGAGGAAATAATCAGTTCTGTTAAAGGTCAACCATGTTCAGGAAATGATCTCTGTCTGAACCTCACTGTCCTGTAAGGTTATCGAAGTAGCTTAGCCCAGCTAAGTCCTCTCTATCAGAGACCCCAATTATATTTTTAAAAAATTTAACAGCTGGAAACTTGGACTAGAGCTTTAATTTTTAAAAAAAAAAAAATCTTAAATTCTTTGAAATTCAAAATAAAAGTATTTTTAAGATATATCTATTACAAAGCACTGACAAATGATGCCCTATGTGACTTGGAGTTATCTTTAACTTTTTTTTTAATACCACAAATCTTCATTTAAAAAAGAAAGCCAAAGTGAAAAAAAAATTCAGATTTTGTATTTTTCAGAAACAACTTTCCATGTCTTAAGTTTTTCATGCAGTCTTAAGTTTCTAATTCAGGTTGTCAAACAGGCCATCTAATTTTAGGGTTTGTTTTGTTTTCATTTAAGAAATAAGCCTGCCACCAAAAAAAAAAAATCACTTGTCAAAATGTGAACTCTGTTTTTCTCATGTTCTGTTAAAGTGGCACAGTGTATGCCTAGAGGAGTCCTCGCACTGATGAAGCCTGTGTGTGAGGAGACCAACAGCAAAACCCAGGATGTGTTTTGCCTTTACTTCCTCTAAAAGAATTTGCAGGCAAACATGTTTAATTTGGATTATCTAGGAGGGTGAAAGATCTATGAGGCTAGGAAGACAATTGGGGAGTATAGCACTATTTTCAGAATGCAAAAAGAATCACAAATCATTCTTGTTTTGGGAGTTTGATGTGATTCGGACTGCTCTCTATTTGAGTATCAGTTTGCACCAACAGCAAAATATAATGGCAGAACAGCTTTGAGTAGTCTTAAGCGGTGAACTGGATGATGTGTTAGAAAAGCATCAGTCATTTAAGTTTCCAGTAATTACTGATTTGATAATCACTTAGGTCCCATATATCTCAATGTTTTCTCAGGCTCCTATCTTCCCACTTTCACTATGTCTAAGGGCATAATCCATTCTTCTATATCTTATCATGTCCTTGGACGCATTTTTCCATCCTGTTGTGGGGATTTAGTATTAATGTTTCTTTACTGATTATGAAACTTTCGTTCCCTGAAACTGGTTAACTTTGTCTCATGATTAAGTAAATAAGGCAGAATGATTGTTTTAGCCTGCTCAAACTGGTATAAATTCCTGAAACCATGTTTGGCTATGTTAGATAACAAAGGAGGATGTCCAAGAGGCATATGCTGCTTTGGAGGTGTAATGAACGTGTGTACAGAAGCTTTCAATCTTAACTATAATAGTGTTAGTGTGATGCTATACTATTGGAAAATAGCAACTTTTCTATTTTATAAGTTGTATGCATAAACATAAGATTTGTAATGTTTCATTTATAAACTGCCTTCTTCGACACGTGTTAATAGTGTTTTCTCAAAGTATGGTAGTATGTCTTCCAGAATTTCACAATATGCTTACAGTAAATAGTTCCTAGCTTGTTGAATTGTTAAATTCCTGTTGGCTTTCTTTTGATTCTTCGGGGCACGTAACAAGCCTGAAGGACATTGTAATCATTTCTTACAGGGTGAAAATTTAGAAAGATTGTATGAGAGCCTATATAGTTTTATCCATTGTCATCTTTGATTGAGACTTTTTTTTTAAGTAAATAAATACGACTTCTACTTAATGCATTTGGCTCTACCGAATTTTCAGGGACCAGAAAACTTTAAAGTTCTGCGTCTTACAATTGCAACCAGTTAAGTATCAGCTTGGGATTGTTCTGAAAGTATTAATTGCTCAAAAACTAGTATGAGTACAGTTGGCAAAATCTCCAAGCCCAAAGTCCCATGTTAAAATTTTTGCCTGAAAGAATTTGCATGTGAATGTTAATGGAAACCACATATAAACAAAATTAAATTTAAGGTGGCCCAAAACAAAAGCCAACAATTCATCGTTTAGTGCTTAGTGTTTGTAAGGGCTCTCTGTGGTTTGACTTGCCCCAACTGCCATTAAATGAGGACAGATCACCTTAAGACATGTTACTTTAATACATAACATGGAAGATCGGTTCTGTAATTTCACTGAAAATCTTAGCCTAAAGAAAATTGCTTTAGCCTCTGGTCAGCACTGATTAAAATGTGAATAGTGAAGTGGCTATCCTAAACCTTGGTTGATCTCAACCCATACTATCATAGATTTCTGAGATAAATGCAATTTTTATCTAGTGATATTCTACTTGTATCCTGAATACTGTATTAATTAAAGTTTTACTATGTTCATTTTTTGTAATCCGTGCTTATTTTTTTGCTCACGCATGTATCCTTAGTACAAATGTGTCGCTTTAAAAGTTTTGTCTCTGTGACTTTTAGAAATAAATTTCAGAAAAATGGTTTCAAAAGTTTTTGAAGAACATTTTATTGTTGTGTGAATCAATGACAGATGTATTTCCTAATTCCAAAAGATCAGCAGTTTTTACTACTAGTTTTATCTCCCTTTTGTAATATTAGTCCTTATACTCAATGTAAAAGTCAAATTGGATTCACATCATAACTACAGATAACCCTTTCACCCACCTCCCAAAAGTGTGTGGGTAATACCTAAATTTAATTAGTGCTTTTTTTCTGTTCTTTTTTAAATTATTATTTTCAATAAAGTAGCAATTAATTCATACTACTGATTGGAAACACTTCAGTTTTTTGCTTGAAAAGGGCCTGGTTTACATCTCATATAAGTTTCACTGCTGTGTTCTCATTTGCCACTTGGGCCAAAAATTGCATAGAAATTAAAAATTGTCTTAATAATCTTACATAAATTTTGAGGAAAATATTCCTGCTCCTAACTTGTACTTGGCAAAAATAAATAAATAAATAAATTTATCAAGTAATTAATTTTTACTTTTCCTGGAATCAAAATGGTAGAAAGGACCTCAAGGAATTAGTCAATACTTCAGCTTCTAGTTTAATAATCAGCAAATCCTAAGAGTCCTGTCTTCCTAAAGAGTCTCACCAAAACTTTTATTAAAGGTAAATCAATTGAATGTTTCTGCCTCTGGGCCTCATAACAGTTTCTCTCTTTCCTATCTATGTGTACATTGAGTTGTATTATGCACCTGGATATGGCATGTAATGATGCAAGGGTGCTTCTGGGATCAGACTAGCTAACTGAGCATTGAAAGTTAAAACTAAGAAGTAGAACAAGGTTGTGATGTGATGTGTTAATGTGATACGTATGATATGTATAACATGATTTCTAATTATCCTTTCAATATGTTGCTTGCTTTCAGTTGTTTTATGTATATACTATTTAAAGTGAAAGCTTCTTAGCTCTCGTATAATTGTTGGAATCAGATCATTTAAAAGCCCATGTCCTTAAGTTCTCGGTTAAACTTGAGTAATATGCAGTCAGCAAATATTTATTTAGTCCTTACCATGTGCTTGGCACTACATTACAGTAGCCACTGGGGACACATCAGAAAAAAAGAAAAATCCCTGCCCTCAATGGGCATACATTCTAGTTATGATTCACTGTCATAATACAGTGCCCAGGGTAGGGTAGTTGGTCAGAAACGGAAACATCTTTCTCTCTGTCTTTAGGTAACTCCTTTAAGCATGCCTCATGATACTAGTTACCAGTCAAATAATTATCAGAGGTTTCTCAAGGTCTTGTTTTGTGCAGGAAGAGCAGTAGAAGTTGAAACTTTGCAGATATTTAAAAAGGTCTGTGTATGCTTTGAAAACCTGGTAGTCTGTAGAGTCCATAAAGTATCAAGTTTCAGATTAAGATCTATTAAGCAATGGAATTGACCAAATTAAATGCTTGTGAAGTAAGAAACCGCTAGACATTATAATGAAATGTCCACGGTAAGACAAGGACTTTACTGAATATTCCATAACAAGACAGTCGTTGGTGTACCTAATCACACATTCACTAACAATGACCATAATCCAGCCCCCTGGGTTAGCATGTGTATTATGATAGACTCTTCAAACTTTCCTGTTTATGCATAAAAGGAATCAGTGTGTGGTAGACTGTTTTTATATCTTTTACCTCTTTTAATTTTTGTATTTGACCATGCTCATATAGTTCCTACAGTATTCAACAGTGATGATGATGTTGATGATTTTAGGTATTTTTAATCTGGAAAGCTTTACTTTTATGAGCATATTCTACAGGAATCGAATAACCAGTATGTAAAAGGAGGTTCATCTTAACATAATAGTTACTAACTGCAAATACTCTAAATGTCCAATGATAAAGTGATGGTCAAAAAATTATAACACATCCATATTACGAGCTATTCGAGTGATCTAAAAGTGTGGATCAGAAGACATGTCTACAGTAATCACTAGGTTAAAAGTTTAAAGTGTGTTTCTCACTTAAAAAAAAAAAAAGAATAGTACAATATACTTGTACCAGATAGGCAAACACACACCAAATATTAAGTTTACAGACAAGTAGTGACATTGAATGGGTCAGAGGGGAATATTTACCTGTTTTTTTAATACACTCGTGTCTAGTTGACTTATTTGCAGCAAATACGTGTTATTTTTATCACACACAAAATGTGAACTAGACTTACTGAAACCTGTTCATACCATAGTTATATTCACCTTATTAATATATAGATTAATGAATATACAGGCATTAATGAAAACTTTAAATCAGTTTAATTATTTAATTTTTATTTAAGAATTTTAGTTGCTGAACAAATGTTTTAAAATATCTTTCCTGGGTTCTTTAATAAAATTTAGTTGCACATTTAAAAAATTAAGTAATCTTTCTTTGTCCCAAGCCATTCATTATTAAACAGGTAAAGGAGGATGTCAAATTCAAAGCTATGACTCTCTATACTTTATAAATAGCCTATATCTTCTAGCTGTTCACAGTACTTATATAATTACTGTGCTTCCATAATGCCCATAGCAAACAAATTTAATCACTGCTAAAACCCTGTAGACATGGTTCAGAATATGCCAATTAATGAGAATGAGATCAATGTCAGACGTATTATCAAGTAATTATTTAAAACCTTAATAATTTCTATATGCCACCTTAATTTTCTTATTTCAGAAAACCAATATATCAGATCGGGTTTTGAACTCTATATCTGTTAATCATTTGTCATCTTCCTCTCTATGTAGGCTGCTATTTCAGAACTTACAGTCTTTTGAATGCTCTTTTCCTACTGAGGAATCTACCTAGCACCTCCTTTCTTACTAATCCAATATCAGTAATATTGCTTTACTACTCAATGTAGTAGTAACATTGAGCGGTCAAGGTGCAGTCTTTCCTTTTACTAGTGGCCATCTGTTCTTAATATTTCTTTCCTATCTGATTTCCTTCTTTCTTCCCTAATGCCTCCCAGCTCTTCCCCCTGGAGGTTCTTAATGCCACTCCTTTGGCTAACACAAAGTATTACCAATTCGCTGTGATATCACAAGAGTAAAAATCAAATTCATATCTAGAATCTATGTAGTCATTGGTTCATACTTTTAAGCATACTTACAAAATGGAGCAGATTTTTATAATTTAGTCTTCAAATACTGCCAAAATGATGCACCACTAGTATCTTCACGAGACATACATGCTCATGACCCTGAATTCTCTATTTCTCATGAGAATAGGTTCTCCAATAAAATTTTCTGCCTCTTTTGTTAGTCCATTAACCTCAAACTCATTAGGTGAATATTAATGTGTCATCTTGATGTTTGTGTCTGTTAACTGGTATTAACAATGAAGCTAATGATATAAATATCTATCTGATCCACTTGTTTTCTTAAGGCTGTATCAAATATCAATCATTATGCTACATTTAAAAAAGAAATAACATGGATATGTTTTTAAATTATGGTTAGTATATTTAGATAACACTTTATTACCTTCTGTATTCTTTTTAATTTGATATTTTTGTCAAAACAATGTGTGCACATAGATTTAGAATCAAACAATGTTAAATTATTTCTAACCAGTAATACCTGCCTTACCCTTTCACCCTTCCTTGTTCTTTAGTGTCTCCCCAAATCCAAAAATATTTTGGATCTTTTAAACCCTTTTAGCTCTTTCTTCGGATACTTACTTTCATACTTCTAAGTAATATGCCATGCTACCATATTTTATTTCTCAGCATTAGGCAAGATGCTTAAAATGAAGGATTTGTTCGTTTCCATGGTCATCTCACCCTCTCCCTCACTGTAGCATTTTAGTATAGTTAAAATCAATATACAGTGTTTCCATTTGTATGGCCATGTACATAATTGTTCATCAGGAACAAGATAATGTCCTGTGGATTATTTTCCTCCTTATACATTTTCTCAGCTTTGCTTAAAGTTAGTCATTTCATCTTTTTTTCCTTTGTTTTGTGTTCTATTTTTTCCCAAATGCATCAAGAGATATGGCAAATGCCGATAACTAATCTTTCCCAGTGCTTATAGAAGTCAAATAACCCGTGGTTTATTCCATTTATTTTCCTCCCAGCCTTCTTTTCTTCTGCTCAGATATGAATGTATTTTTCTCCAGATTCGATACAGTGGTGATTCTGGAGTGTCTTGTGCTTTGCTGCTTGTCTAACTAGATCCTTTCTTTGCTGTATTCCACATCCTATGCCTTGCTTAATTCATTGCTTAGCACATCCTCCTAAAGCTTCCTAAGAAAGAATACGTGGAAGAGATATTTCTTGATATCTTGCGTGTCTGAAAATAACCTTATCGTTCCCTCGTGACTAATTAAAAGTTTAGCTAAATAGTTTGGAAATAATTTTCTTTGATAATTTTGAAGGCATTGCTCCATAAGCATAGATCACATTGCATAATATATAATGTGGTTTTATATTATTTTATATTACATATCTAATATAAATATTCACTGCCTCAAAAGCAGCAAAGAGACACCCAGGATGACTACTGTATTGGGTCTACAGAGAAATAAGTTTAGACTGGAAGAAGAGAAGAGAGAACTAGGTAGAGAGACCGCCAGAAAGATAAATGTAATATATATTATTTTGTATGACATTATTGCTTTGATAGTCTAGTCTCCTACACTAATTTTATCCTGCTTTTAATTTTTACAACACCTTAATTGTTTTCTGAACATTCACTTTTAATAGAATCTCATTTTAGGTTTATGGATACAGTATTTTCTTTCATTTCTCTGTGAGTATTAGCTATAATTTTTAAAGAGCTTTCTTCTGCTCTTGTATTGTCTCTGTGTCCTCCAGGTTCCTCTATTTCTGATTGCTTGTTTCAGTTGGTCTCTTTTTTAGGAGAGTTTGTTTTTAAGTACCTGGTGATCCCTGAATGCCCATACATGTTTAAGAACGAAATAGCAGAATGGAACCCCTGCGTCCATGGGTGGGGTGTGGCCACAGGTAGAGAAATCAGAAGCAAAACACACTATTTCAGCAAAACACAAAACCTTTAAGTCATTTTTTAAAAATGTTTAAGGGTTTTCAGTTTCTTCGGGTT